TATAATCGTGAAACTTTAAAGCTCGTAAAATACGTTCGTGCAAAAACGTACACGGTAATATAAAGAAAGCTAAATAGAGATGTTTGCGCAAATTGATTCTCGGGCTTTTTTCCTCGTGAAAATTGTACATGTTTTTCTAAATATATTAGACTACATTTACCGTTGACGCCGATTGGCGATGAGAAATTTTAATGTGACTTGAGCGCGACGCGAGGTACGCGCGAGTCGACGTAATTAGCGCCTTGATAATCGAAGCCTAAAGTTTCCCTTCGACCTTACCGGCCCATTGACACTGGCAGCCCCGTTACCAAGTCCGCCAAACTAACCCCCACCCTTCTTTCGACATTCAAATAGTGTCGGTGCAAACTTGTCCAAGTTCCGACTGCAGCACGAGCCAGGTAGAATACGTAATGAGTACGTGGGCTCTTGACTTCGGACTATTATACGAGCCGGCCCATTATGACTAATCGCTCGGTATGCCTCGCTACCGAGCCTCGGGCGAATATTCGCGTGGCGAATGAAACTTATACACATAGAAGAATCGCAACTCGTTATCGTGGATTTATGCTGGAGTGAAACGTGATCGAATTTTGTTCGGAGAACTGAGAGGGGCGTTTCCCTCAACGAGTATCTCCCGGTAGAACGTTAATAACGGAATCATGTAACAAAATCTTAATGAAAAGGCAAATTATTACACTTTCGCGTCTATATTTTGCTAACCGTCGTCGTGATTAACGGGATGCACCAAACAGAGAGAATCCTCGCCCGGACTATTTAACGTTCAGCTAAAGCGCGGCACGGATCAAGCTCTTACTTTACTACTCCACGTCGCTCATCGTGAAACGCCCTTCTCCGCGCGGGATCGAAAATTCCTAGATAATTTCTCGTCACGCGATCGTTCCTCGTCAAGTGGCCACTCGCTCGGGCACGATCTAATTTCAGGCTTAATCTCGAAGGTGCGGTCCGACGATGGGGCACGATGTGAATGCGAACGGTCATACGCGCAGTCAGGACGCGAGGAGACGCGAGAGTGAAGACAGAAAGCGGGAGGGGCGGAAGGGGGGGGGAGGGGCGAGAGGGAGTTTAGGTATTGGCGATTCTATAGCGACGTATTAGCGCCACGATTGCCGCCAGCAGCCTCGGCCTAAGTGAATGGCTCTGCCGAGGGCTTTGCTGATTATGGCGTCGCCATTGATCCAGATCGAAATTGGCTTGCCTCTGTCATGGAACGTGCCCAGAGGACCATTAATATCCTCCGCGGGCCAAGAGCGAACGGGCGCGACGCCCGTATCGATGACGGAGATGAGAGGAAGAGGCTAGAGCTAATCGCAAATATAGCCGCAGACCGAGGTGCGAAGCCCCTCTCGGTGTTGTCGGGATATATCAGCTCATTGAGCGATTAAATAATCGGCATCCGATCTCTTGTTGTATTTATCGAGAGTTTCTCTTTAAAATTCTAATTGCAATTGTGCGCGTAAAGCGATAAAGGTACTTGAATACCGCGAGCGCTTTGGCAGAATTTTGCTCGGAGAACTTTTTGTTTGGGGAAAGTACAAAGAGAATATTTTTCAGACGTGTTTTCTGTAAAAAAAAGAAGAAGAATATCCTCTCTCCGCGATATTTTAGAAGATAGCATCGGCAGTAATATATCTGATTTTTCACGCATGCTACTTTTTTTAAATGATGTGAAATTCGCGGCGTTTATCTTTTCAAGATCGCAAAAAATAAATATATTTCATTAATCATCGAGAATACGACGTTTCTGACTCGTCCATTAAAGTATAAAATATATATTTGTATAGAAAATACTTTCATTGCGGAAATTTCAGCAATTAAATTTCGATCTGCAGAAGAAATTAAACGATTTCCGACGCATTCTTATAGATTAAATGTAAAATACTGAGCTCCGACAGATAATCGCAAATAATCGGATAGCAGATAATCTTTAGCGTTAAGCAGTCGATTAATATTACAAGAGACCGGTAGATTTATAAATCCTTTTCTATCGAAAGGAGAATGACAATCCACCACTTGTCTGTCTATCGGCGCGATTAATAAATTGTCTGGATTAAAAGGATTCACGATCAGAGAGAGAGAGAGAGATAGAGTAATAAATGCAGCGTCCCAGGAGATTGGATTTGACGTAAATCGACGAAACTGGCACAAAATTCTCGCGCGATAGTCTCGATCGTGTTCGTTTACACGTCTACTTTATCCTCTTGTCGCCTGATTAATGAGGATTACAACGGACTAGAAAGAATAAGGATGCGCCTCGCATTTGATCGCGCGAATTATATCAGGGATATAAAATTTATGGACCGACACGCTGTAATGTGTTGCTTCGAAGCGAGTAACAGGTTATAAATATCGAATCGGGTACAAACGCCATTTCATTTATCCATGAAATTTTCCGATATAGATAAATTATGCAGCATCGGAAATACGCCAATAATAGCAACGGATTAATTTAGATCATTTACGAGCCTTTATGACTCGCTTTTACGTCGCTTATTGCTCTTTTCAATCCGTTGAATAACTTATTTGTGGAATAAATATCCTAGCGCTCGATCACAGCCAAACAGAAATATCTAATTTTTGTGTCGAAATGATTAAAACCAGCGAACCCTGCGCAATTATTCGACCAATCAAATTACCTATTGTCGACGACGAATAGTTTGCATTTGTTTTTATTATCGACTCGTTTCTAACATTAAAGTACCGTCGTGTAAATTTTAATATAGTTTTTAAAATTGAGTAGAAGTGACTGATGCTTGTATTTCTCGTTTACAAATGTTTTATATATAAGCTGGAAAACTTACTATAATAATAATAATGAGAACCTAATGAATTATTACACGCGATCTAATTTATTAAAAATACTGGCCATTCATACTGGTTTATCAAATGTAACATTGTTCTCGCAGTGCAGAATCTCGATTTTTTTATCGTACGACAGAATTAAATGGGAGACAATGTCTGACGCGACAAATTACGTGACAGGTGAAGGTAACATTGCTTTCGACAATCAATCTCTTCCCGCTCGAGGCTATAATATGACTTTATCAGCGGCTAATTGAAGTTTTCAAAGGTCGTCATTTGCCAGATTGGATTAAAAATTGAGTAGTTGCCGGGGATCAAAGGAATCTATTTTCTGCCTCTCGAGTACCGCAACGGATTCTATACATTGGCTATTATTGGCGTATACATATATCACTGCGCGTATATCCTGCTTTTTCAATCACGTATCACCAGATAAACTAGCAATCGATATTTCCCGCAGACAAGATACAAATGAGAAATCGTTAGCAAACGTTTTCAAATTAAATTTTCTAACAATTCAAAAATTACCAAGATTTATCGGAGTGGAGGGATGTTTCGGGCGGAACTTTTCGGGCAAGTGGCTCTAAAATGTGTTTCTCGATACCGAGAATCAATTTTCGTCGCCGGTATATATATATATATATATCTTTTTCGGGACACCTCGCGGACGCGGCGATGAAGGCTCCAAGTAGATGATGCTTCCTTCCGCCGTCTGTATCTGTCGATTGCCAATATCTCGGCAAGACTGGCGCGAGACGGGCGGGATCGAACAGGCAGGATTCTTGGTTCCGATAAGAGTTAGTGTTCACTTGTTGACCCGCTTCGACGATCGTAACTTATCGAGAGATACAAGACCGGCGATTGAGAGAAACGACGTGCGGCCGAGAGTCTCGGGATTTATCGAGAGGTCTTAATAACGTCGCGCGCACGACGATTTTATGGCGAGGTCGTCGTCGTGCGACAGATCGGCGACCGCGGTTTTAGCGACTTTCGGCTTGAGCCGCGGCTGATTCCCGGCTGGTTTCCGATCCGAGGGGTCGCGGTCGACCGCGGTTTGCATCTCGTCGACGCGATTGTTACATCGTTACAAGAACGGCACTCGATTCGTCGGGACTTATCACGGCAAATCGAGAGAGTCCGCGATCGACCGTGGGCGGTCCTCCACAGCGCGGTATAGTGCCATTAGTTAATCGCTGATCAGCGTTACGCCAAGTGGCATTTGTGCGGCAAGTAAATTTTCTCTTTTATCGCTCGCGTGCAAATCATCGTTAGGCATTTCGACTCATCGTTTGGCACGATCCGATTGGATTGTGCCCGCCCGTGTAGTCGAGTAGAATTACAGACGCGGTGTGCCGACCAATGCCGATCCGTTACAACGAATAGCTACAGATAGAACCGATAATGAATTGGAATTGTTTGCAAACTGCATGGGCGCTTTAGCAACAACGCCGGTACCGCCACTCGCTACAATTGCGCACATAGTTATTCCATTCGAATAATATGTTTCGATAATTGGAGGCTTTTACGTATCGGGTCCGATTGGGGAACTGCACGTTGCATTTCTGCGCCAATGACGGCTCCCTCCGCTATCGATAAGGTCGGCCCGTCATATTCGTAAACGCCGCGGCGAGCGTCTTTGTTTAAGTTTCGATTGCTTCCTTTGACACCTAATTGCCCGCAATTGAATATCATTCTTAGTGCGGTGACGGGCGTGAATTCGCTGCATCAAAGTAGTTTTGGCATGCCCGGACCTTCGTGTCAGCGCCGAATCGTCGTTAATCTTCATACCATTGGCGTCACGTAAGGGAATCGAGGCTTATTTAAACCGATTTTCAATTAATCTCTCGACAGGTCCGATTTGTCGTCAGCAAAATATCTACTCGGACATCATCCCGCGATAAATAAAAGACTCGATACATTTTATTTTCATTTAATTTCCGATAACTGACGTACAACGTTTCGTAACGTTCGTGCGATTCTCATTACCGATTTTTGACAAAATAATGTGGTTTTGATCCATGAATGCGTAACACGAATTAACATAGAAATTGCGAGACGATACTAAAATGTCGGGACAGATGGTGCACTTTTGCAAAAAAAAGGGGGGAAAACCCGGGACGGAAACAACGGTCGACGGAGAGAAAGGACGGAGAACCTAATGAATGCCATGTTGAATTTACCTGTGCACCGACGAGGCCAGCGCGTAATCTAGGGATGTCCGTGTGACTCCAGTCTGATCTGGCCCAAGGGTCGACCCTGCCGAGATCGCTGCTCAGGTTGACTTCGCCAAGTTGATTGTGTACGAACTTTCTGACGTTCCAGGGCAAATCGTTGTGCCTGCGAATTAGAAATACGAGTTTTGCAAGGACACCACGTGCAACGTGCGCGCGATATCTCGCGACACTCAACGGCGCGGGCGGACAATTATCGTTGATTATAGCTTGATTATAGCGAGATATTTTCTATTCGAATATCGTATTTTGTATAGAACATTATACTTGAATTGCGGAGTATGTTTGAACAGTAATTCGAAATGCATAATGATCTGTAGATTACAATGTGTTACTTGAGATAAATAAGCAAGATTAAATCGCAATGTACATTTGGTTTCGAGTATCCTGGAATTCTATCCATATCATTATGCGATACAACATATGATCTGTTGAAATAATTACTTGGTACATTAACGAGATTGTGTTCTCCGGAAACACGACCGCGTGGAAAATTTCGGAGCGTTTTGCATTTTTCAAACGTCTTCGTGATATCGAAGCTTTCCTTAATTTGGCCAGCGACACGCTCGCGAGGTTTTACGGTAACGAACGCTCACCCGTCGATCAGAGGCACTTCAGTGAGAATCCTCCTGATCACGTCCAGCCTCTGCTGGTGCGTGGCAGGCGCGGATTGTAATAGAAACGGCAGACAGAGGCCTCCGAGGAGCAGGACGGCCACTAGGAGCAGGACAGGCGCCAACAGCCGACACCTCCTGCGCGGACTCTCGTCTCTGCGATCCTTGCTGCTGCCGCTGCTAGGCGAGTCCTCGCACGGCGGCGGTAGTCGCAAGGTGCCGTTGCAAGGCGCCACGTCTGGCAGTTCTGTTAGGCACGTGGTCTGAAAGAAGAAATCCGAAATTTACGCTCGCGACATTTCCCTCGTTTTCCTCTGCCAGTCGTCCTCGCTGATTTATTAATCTTGTTGCGGGGAAATTGTTGCGAGGAATCGAGAAACGATTTTAACATTTCACCGATTTTCTGAGACTACGTATAGAGATTTCGTAAATAATTCGCCTTTAATTCCCAAATTTTAAAACACACTTTGATCGTACAACGAAACGCGCATTTTTAGACGACTTTTATTCATCTTTCGATATTAAATTTGCTGTTAAACTATTAGTTTATATGCTAAGATGCATTTGTCCGCAATTCTTTCGTCAATTCGGGTGATGCAATATGAGCGGCAACTAAATTTGCGAAACGGATCTCGTTCACGGAGCACAGAGAACATTTGGGTTGGTTTAGTACATCGCGCACACGTTCGAAATATTTGCTTGCGAATTAATTAATCTGGTTAATAGCTGCCGCGGAGATTACATGCTGCTATCCAGCGGACGCGTACGCTTGTGGAAATAAATAATTACTTGTCTGTAATTTCACGTGCGCAGTAAGCGACACTGGAAGATTAATACTTTCCTGACTAACTGAAGTCAAACACAATGTGTGACAAGGTAACGCGACCGGGCGCTGCAAGAGGTTTTAACGTAATGAAATGTTATAGCTGAAAAATTGTAACTTTTCGCATAATTGCGCTTTTCGTCGTGAAAACTGATAACACGCTATCATAACACACTGAAGACAGATGCGCCTCTTCCGATTAATATACATATAGAGGAAAGTCCCCTATTATGAGATAACCTCCTAATATGAGATAGCAGGGTTTTTGCTAAATTAATAAGCATCATCCATTGGTTTTATCGTGAATTTATTGCCTTTGGAGTGAAATATGTGTGCTGGAAAATTAATTGTTAGATCGTGTAATCGTTGCGAATAAAGACTTATGATTGGACGTTGAAAACCTGCTATCTCATATTAGAAGCCTATCTCATAATAGAGGACTTTCCTCTAATTAAAAGGGTTTGTTGAAAACTTGTTGCGTTAATTTACTACACATTGCGCGTACTGCAACGTTACATTTGCAACGGCATTCGCACAAATTGTCCAAAATCTTTCAAATATGGTCGATATATTGGAGGGGGGATACAAATCCTCTCGTCTCGCGACACGTGCGAGACTTTTCGACGCGGGCGAAGCGTATCCGGGCCGAAGTCAGACAATCGCGCGTGTTAACGACTATTTAAGTGTCTTTCGGAAAGTGCATTACGCTAGTGGCGCATGCAGCGGAAACGGACGGGCACGGCGGCTGTAACCTGTCCGCGGAAAAATACAACCGCCGCGGGTGGAAGCGCAGACCTCGAAGGAGGGCGCTGGACGAGAGGCGGGCTCCTTCGCGGCGTCACTGCGACGCTCTGCGGGTAACGCGCGGCAAACTTTTGTTCGCCCTCCTTTCGACCACCATAAAACACGTTAACGCCTGGGCTACGGATTTGCCGCGTCTATATAGCATATAATGTAGAACACAGTCGCGAAAGGGGCATTGAGATACTTGGCGAGCCTCTGGGAATTTTCTCAGTTTCCACAGTTGTCGTAAACAACTCACCAAGTCATAACTCTCGCGTGTACGCCCCGATTCGCGATACTCCGTGGTACTCATCGGATTTCGCGTCGCTGCAAATCAAATCAAATTCGCGAGTCTTCGTTGAGACGATTGACACCATCCGTGATAATGAAAACCGTTTCGCGGCTTGCGCCGTTGTTTCAGTAAAACGTAATTGGCGCGCGCCAACGTTTTCGTCGTCCATAATTTATTAATCAACAAAAAGTTCCATATTGGACATGTTCGCACAATTGCACCTGCGTTTGGCTTGCATTGGCCTTCTCCCCTCCCCCCCAGCAATAATTTATGAAGTATTTAGAGAGTTTAATTATTTCCGATTTAATTATTAGCTAGGAAAAGCATGTTACATTGTAAGCTTTCAATGAAAACTTCGACACACAGTTGGAAAATTTGTTTTCTTGTTAAAAAAATGCCGATTAAAAGTTTTATGTTAAATGTTTAACACATTCATGTGTTAATTTAACATATTGCTCTTGTGTTAATTAACCTCAAATGTAAAATTATTAAAATAAGTGAAGGGAAATGTTAAAACAGCCCAATATGTTTTTAATCTTACACAATACATATGTTCTATATCACGAGACACGGTAGTGTCTCGCGCCAAGTTATTAGTAACAAGATTTATCTGTTACTAAATTGTACATTAAATGTACTAAAATTTACAGAATAAAATGTTGATTTTATTCTATATAACATGAGCGAGAGTGATTTCGCATCGTCATTTGACTTATTACATCTGTAAAATGTAAAAATTACATTTTTAAAAATTCATTTTGTCATAAAAAATATGTTAATTTTACACAAAATTTATTTCAAATTATTTTGAGAATTGCAATCATTTTGTGTTAAAATATTAACAGAGTATTAGTGTGAATCATTTAACATATCCGTATTATGTTAAATTAACACAAAAATTTGTGTGGGCCGTTTGGGACATGTGATGTCCGTTAAATTTACAAATGTTTCAACTGTGTACAATTAAAGACGAAAGCGAACAATAATCAAAGACACTTTGGAAACCGGAGTTGAAGATAATCTCGTTATCACAGATAGAAAAATGTAAGAAACACTTGGAGAGGCATATACGGAGCGACATGGCGGATGTGCCGTTTTTCGACGCTCCTTTCGGCGAAACTCCTACCCCACGCATGTCCTTTCTTATAATAGAACAGCGCCAAGTTTTCCGTATTTATGGCACACAATAACGCGAGGGATACGAAGTTTCCCGAGATGCTCGTACGCGGGCGGGAGAAGCACGAACGAGAGCGACGAACGCCGGATGAAGCCGGCAGATTCAACGAGCTAAACCGCGAAAGTTATCGTCGGCATTACCCACGCAAAAGAAATGCGTTATCGTCGATGCGCGAAACAGCGAAGCGCGATTTCCATTTTTAGCCGTTTCTCCGTTTTCTTATTCACGACTCCGCTCGGTGAGGATCGATTATCGATACTGCAGGTAATTAATAGCTGCTTGAAGGTAATGAAAATGAAAGCGCTATGGACGCGCGTCGTTTCTGTGCATATAACTGACGGAGGGTGAGGGGGGGGGGAGGGGGAGGGAGGCGTTTCCTGATAGCACTTGTAATTCATTGTTTAAAATCAAGCCTGGTGATTGCAGGCGTCTTTTCTTCTTTCTTTCAATGAACGCATTTCATTTTATTCATTAAATACGAATGCAAGGGATAAAATTGAATGTAATCTCCAAAACCGAAGACAGTTTTCTCTCGCTGGAATTTATTTAATGGCGCAATAAAGAGAACAACTCCGAATTGTCGTTTTTTCTTCGCGCGAGCAATCGCCGACAAATTAATTCGTACTCCACGGTGGCTACGCAAAGACAATTATTGTCGCTCCGTGATAGTAATAATGGGCGACCGCCTTTTAGCGCTGCTCCTCCGGAATTTAACGAAAAAGCGAATTCAACGTACTTTTATAACCGTGCTAAAAGTTTTTACCGCGAGCGTAAACGTATTAATTAAGCGCGTTAATTGAGCGCGTTTAAAAATGAAACGACACATAAGGCGGTTATGTAGACGCGAAATACGGAAGATGCAATGTTTCAACTTGTGCTTTTCTTAGAATGAAATTGTTCTCATTAGCGCGAGAGGCCAATGTGTCTCTAAAAACATGACATTTTCCTGGCGCTTGAAAATATTTAAAGGTTCAATTATATATTTTTAGTTAAAAAATTATTAAATGTATTAATACCGTAAAAGTTCTTTGTGACTGATTACGAAAGGATATACCTTTTATTTTCGCGCTGCAGAGAATACGAGAACTAACAGGAAGATTAAAATAGGATTTTATTATAAGAACGATTCGCAAATATAGTTCGCACAGAAGATATCGATTTCCGCGTCAAAGTGTAATGCCATGTTTTGGTATTTCTCGGAATTTGACTTTTTAAATAGTATTTTTTTAACATTGATATGCGAGAAACCCGACAAAATAACAAAAGTGACATATAAATAAAAGATTTCGAAATTTCCATATTTGAAAAATAGTGCTCAGCTATACTCCCGTTTTGATTTGCAATTGTAAAATGTGGCGGTGTCACGTGTACCCACTTGTTACGATTAACACTATATCCCGTACAGCCGTGCCGTTTTACTCCGTATAGCTGTGTAGTATTCTGTAACTATAATGGAGGTCCTTCCGCGTCTGACGTGTTCTTACGCGATTAAGTCCGGGCCCCGACTCCTCGAGGAGACGCGAAGTGCGAGATTCGTAGTTGGCTCTTTAGGTACACGCCGTGAAACCCGGAGGCGGACGCCATCGCTGATTCCTTCTTGTGTCTGGTTAATGGAACTAAGAAGCTCGTAAACGTATTAACTGCTGCAAAGGACATCGGCTTTGATCCGCCTGTGACGAGTGCCCGCCTTCGTCTTCGCTCTTTGAAAAGCACGGTCGAGGCGTAAACCTATGTTTCGAGCAAAAGTAAAACTGCTTCCTTGTATAAAATTGCTAGAAGATTAAATGATAAATGCCGCGCACGTGGGGATTATGGTTTAGAGTGTTTAGACAAAATACATTTACAAAGCTTTTTTTATGGGAAAGACATAATGACGGTACATTGATAAAAACAGTATCTTAATCCAAAAAAATATTACTTTACTCAAGAAAATTATTTATTAGGCTCCTAATAGCTTATTAACTTAAATTTAAAAAATAGAAAACAAATTGGAACATGCATTTCTTTAATTTAAGTATTTATTAAATATCAAAGAATGGATTATTTTAAATTAAAAGAATTTTATTTTAATTCTATAAAATGTTTACTAAGATGTAATTTCATAGCTAAGAAAATTTCTTATTTAACAAAAACAATTATTTCATTTAATAAATACTATTCTATATCTCATGAAATCTTCAGTTGAATG